GTTCCGCGCTGCCGCCCGCCCCCCCGGAGCGCCCGCCTGAGCTCAGCCCCTCTCCGCTGACGCGGAGATCCGCGCCCTGTGGTGCGGATTGGAGCCGCGGGGAAGGCCCCGGCTCCGCGCCTGCCGGGACGCGCGGCCACAGGCACCTCACCCTCGCCCTCCACTTAAGCCAGCTGTAAATAAAAACAGCTAGGATATTTTTTTTTTTTTTCTAATCACTTTGACAATGCCCCTCACAGCCATCCGCCTGAGCAACTTTGAAGTCATCTTAAATTTCTGCAGGATTTTCGCTTGTGGCAGTTTCCTTGTCTGTTATTAAGCCGATACAGGGTTGGGCGTGATGCTAAGCTGCCAGCGCTCTAACCCGAGACAAAGCCTCAGTTCCTCCCTGTCACAGAGGAAAGTACAGTTCAGGCTGCCACCCCCAAACTCTTTGTCACCCCGATTTTATGGATGGGTGTGTCTGTTATTAGTAGCATTTCCCACAGACAGAGAGCTGGTATGGACTTGCAGCCAGTGTGACTCCACGTTGCAGTTTGACAAAAAAAACCCCCCCAAAACATAAGGAAAGAAAGAAAGAATGAAAGTCCCAGTGAGGAGAATACCGACAGGATTTTTCCTTTAGCAGAAGACAGTTTCAGGGGCTCTGAAGACAAAATGGCTGTTCTGTATGTGAGCACAAGTGGGGAGCTGGGACCAGCCCATAAACAACTGGGCAAGCCCAAGAGCTGCGGAATGTGTCTGTGATTTGAAGTGCCCTGACCTGCGCTGGGGGGAATCGGCCGCAGAGCTGAGGGGTGAGACCTGTGCAGCGCAGCGCCTCGACGGGCCTCTCCGTGAGGGAAATCCTCTCTCACCTGGGTTGAAATGGTGAGCAGATGACAGATCAACATGAGTTTGCTGTCTGGCTCGTTGCAGGGCCCCAGGGGCTTCCCTCGACCTTATACAACCTACTTCACAGCGCATGGCCCCGCTGGCAGGACGGGGAGGGGACGGGATCAACGCAGGGTGACCACGGACACACGGCAGAGCCGTGCTGGGGCTCAGGGCTGGAACAGGCAAGCCAGGTCCTCGGGAGAGAGCTAAGGCACAGCCACCCCTGCGCAGTGCGAGCCAAACCTCTTCACTCTCATACACTGTGGGTTGTTATCCAAAGGGCTTTTAAAAGCTGTTGTAGAGATAATTCCAGTGCCCTGGATGGATAGTCTCGAGGGTTTCAGAAAGGAAATGTGACATCTTTTCAACTTAGCCAATACATGTTGTCTTTTGTATTTCGCTTACACACAGTGCAAAGTAATTAAAAAAAAAAAAAAAAAACCAAACCAAAAAAACACAAGAAAACTGTGATGTGTCAAGACCTGGCTGGACACACAGAACTTACTGTGCTGCAGTTGTGCCACTGTCGTTGAAGGACAGCCGCTTGGTGTGAGCGCTGTTACACCGTATCTGTGCCATATAGCTTATTCTTGGGCAGAAAAGGAATAAGAAGCATCTTTGGATGTGGAAACCAGGATAAGCGCAACGCCAGAGAGATGCAAGCAGAAATGCTTGCTCTGTCATAGGTGATTTCTGTGACTCCTGACAGGTTAAAGCATCTCCCTGGGTGGCGTGTGCTGTTTGGGAGGACTGCCGTGGGAAAGGGTTCAAACGCAGCGTCTGCCACCCCTCCCAGTCCTCCCACAGCCAGGCTGGGCAGCTCGCGGCGGCCCCCAGCCCAGAGCTGTGCCCACAGCACTGGAGCCCTGCCAGCCTCTCGCCTGCAGGGCAGAGGCACGTCTCCATCGAGTTTGAAGAACGCGGTGCTTTCATATAAAATGGTAAAGGGAGGACGCACAAGATCCTTAGACAGAAAACTGCAACCTTACTATTGCCTGTGTGCACGTAAGTACATCGAAGTCACCTCTTTCCTCCGGCTAACGTCGCAGCAACACAAGGTGTGCGGATCAGGGCACAGTGCTTTGGGATGGGAATTACTGACGAAATAAACCATGCTGGGAAGGGACCATTTATGTGCATCACATAGTTCTGGATAAAGGAATTTATAGCAAAATGAGACAAACAGAACGTCAGAGCAATCTCCACAGGGCTCAGCTCAGCTGCTTTTTGAACATTGTACTTCTATTTCTCGTCAGTTTTGCATTCTGAAGCCTCTATGTATGCTTGCGCAGGGAATACTCCCCATGTACGTTTTGGTTATAAATAACGGGGGCTGACTGGACTTTAAATCTTTTCTATTTGCAGAACTGAGGCGTGAGGCTCCGTAAGTGCCCCCGAGTGGCTTCAATTTCTGTCCTTAACGAAAGATAACAAAAGAAATGCAGGAACGCCTGTCCTAGAAAAAAAAAAAACACAACCAAAAAAAACCCCAAACCAAAAACAACATGCAGAAGAAAGAGAAAGATCCATGCCGTAAACATGAGACGGTAAGTGACTGTTTCCAGGAAAACAAAAAGAAAAAACCGTTGAAGATAGATGACTTAACAGCTTTTAGCGCTGTAAATTAATATTATAATTGTAAATCAAGCTCTGTTCCCAAGCTGATTTCTTCATTTCAGGGAACACTAGTTATCCTGCAGCAGTTTTTAATCAGGAACTTTGATCTAACATTAGTGCTTCTCATAGATAAAGACTCTTCCTCCCAACATCTGTGAATAATCCCAGTAAGTGAAATACTACTACACAACAGCAGACGCATTACTACAGAGTCAGAGATGGCATATAGTTATTTCTTAATAGTACAGAACTGTCAAACTATCACACATGATTCATTTTCAAGCTGGTTTAAAAGATGCCGGATGCGGATGCCTGGAAGTAATCCAGCCCTTGGGTTTAAAGCTTTTTGCCTAAGCAGAGTCATGAGCTGCACAGCAACCTTACCCAGAGAGGGGCAAAGACAGGTGCCAGAAAGAAATACTGTTTGGCACATCTATTTCCAATGACAGAAGAGATACGCCCTGACTGAACATAGCCTGAAACTGTAGAATTACGGTGCTTTCATTTCTGAGACCCAGGGCGCGTTACGGGCTAAGCTGGGTTTGCATTTCCGTTACTAACAGGTCATCCTCTGGCACTTTTTATGGGTATCTGAAATCTGTAGCTTCCCCGTAGGGAAACCGAACGCAGCACAGACTTTTCTGTGGGTGTCGAAAGGCAGAGCTGGTATTTGGGCTCGGAGGACACCCGTTCCCTGCCTCCAGCTGAGAGCATTTCCACCCGTCCCTCCCTCCCTCCGTCCCTGCCAGAGGAGTTTGCCGCCAGCCTTGCCCCGAGCAGCAGGTGGGACGAGGGGACTGCAGAATCCCTTCAGCCAAAACCACGCTGAGGTCCTGGGAAAGTGAGCATCTCTTCCATGGAGAGCTAGTAAAAACATCTGAACTTTACCCACTTTAGGAGACGGGCGAAAATCAAAACAGACAAATAAACCCCCCAGAAGTTTATGGTCCACGCTAACCACTAGCGGGCAAGCACAGCTGAATTCGATGGCTGTTCCTCACGTGGGAGACACATCCACCTCCCCGGGGAACACGCTTGGAGCATCACAGCCTCCTGCAATTTCCCAGCCTCTCATGGATTACCTCCTGGCTTGGGTTTTCCCGCTGCCCCCATAATTCCTCTGGCTTTTGAATGACTAATTACGCCTCACTTGGTTAATTCTGCATTAAAAAACAAAGGAAGCTTAGTTGCATGGAGAGCGTGAGACTGTTTTCTTCCCAGGTACTGTCGGTTTCCTGCTCCAAACAGGATAAGGATAAAGCAAGTATAAACAGAAATGTTTTGCCAAAGCCTTCTAGGCGGGTTCCAGACAGGCCCATGGCAGAGGTTTGGAGAGTAGAACACATGTTTATTGAGGATCGTATGTGGCCAGTGCTAACGAACAGGTAGACCTGCAGGTTTTCTATTTTCCCAGTTTTATAACCAGTCACGTTACCAGTCAGGCAAGTACTAACCCATGGTTTTGCTGATCACAAGCTGAGAGCACTGCTTTACTCATAAAACACCTTCTCCTAAAGCATCACTTGATTATGCTTTAATGTATTTGAAGACTCCCTAGAGTCCCGCTCAGACGATGTGCTTACATCATGCCTATTCGCCTGCTTGCTGTAGGATCTCTAAAATTTTGACCGAGGAATATTCTGTTTTCCTCTAGTTTCCCGACCCATTCATTTGAAATCCTCATTGCCCAAAGGCCTGCAAGTAGAGCTGCCTACTAGAGGCACCACTGCTGCAGTACGGCATACGACTGCGTGTGCTGTGTCCTGAAGGCCGGGTACTTGAAGACCGGATGAAAGTCCTCCGAAGTCACACAATTAACGTTTGCAGTAATCGGGCATCTCAACTGCTAACGCAGAGGAAATGGATTTAAGGAGGGAAACAATATATTCCTCAGCAACAGAAGAAAAAAAAAAAAAGAGGACAGTTGGGAACAGACCGAATTATTTGCTAATATATTTTTTTCTTTTATGATTAGGCAGTGCCAAAACTTCCAGTCCCGCCACTGCAGCAGACCTTACGCATGTACCTACAGTGCATGAAACACTTGGTTCCGGAGGAGCAGTTTAGAAAGACCAAGGGCATTGTGGAGCAGTTTGGAGTTGCAGGAGGTCTGGGGGAATCTCTGCAGCAAATCCTCGAGGAAAGGAGGGAGAAGACAGCGAACTGGGTAAGCAAATGCAGATGAGAAAAATAATTGCTGCGTTGCACGATGCTCATTTACAAACTCTTTGTGATATTCTATGGGCGATCACTGCTTTCCTTCAGTGGGTCAGTGCAAACAGGGGTCATGTCAGATTTACCAAAGGGAACGGGTGTTTCAGACGTTGTTAGGCTAGAATCTTCAAAATGTCAAAATCCGTGTCATCATTATGTGCTCAAATCAGCGGGTTTTTGACACAAATGAGGGAATTCACACATCTCAGGTGCACGCACCCAGGTGTCTGTATGGAACATCTTCCTTTCCCTTTAATAACAGGATTGAGGTTTTGTTAAAATGAAAAACGCTTTCTGATAAGGCTATACAAAGTTCCTTGTATGTGCTTCTACCCAAAGCTCTGATCCAGTCAAATTATTCTGGAATGGAATACTTTAGGATAGGAATTACTCTTTTTACATTAAATTATTATTTGCCGTTCGTTGTCACCCCATTCCAGTGCAGTTATCCTGAAGTATTTTCTCTGCATATGCACACACATGTATACACGCATCTATCTATCACATAGAGCATGCTGAAACCTCAGCCTTTAAAAAAAAAGTCCAGCTTTCTGCTTCCCGAGACAGGAAAATTAAATAAGTTGTAGATAAAATAGATTTTACCGTTCCACAGAGTCACAGTTCATCCTGCCTGCATCAACCACGTTAGAACACGGCAGCTGAAGGCTAGGAAGGCTGATGTTATTGCAGTCCTTCCATCCCAGCAAGGACGAGAGGCACCGAATGGTTTCACAGATTCAGGGGAAGCGTGCGGGCTTGCTGCTGACGTCAGGGAAGCGTGCTTCTCCCTTAATTTTTTCGGTTGTGACCCACAAGAATATCAAATTGTTGTTACAGTCAGGAAGAAAAACCCTACAGTACTGGCAGGGCTGTTATCTGAAAAGCAGAGCTTGATGTCTGAGCTGCTTGTTGCCACAGTCTGAGGGTCCCACTGAACGCCACCCAGTCTCGTTTTGTTATCCTGATTGTAGAACTTCATGGGTTTGGTGGCTAAATCGCCCATCGCGTAAAAAGTGTTCCTGGTCACAGAGAGCGTTCCAGGAGAACTTAACCTCTCGGAGCATGGAAATTACAGAGGAAGGATGCCTGAGCGTTTTCTGGAATGACTCGACTTTAAGGACTGGTTATTACATTTAAATACCTGATTCTTAAGCTACACTAGAAATGTTTTTATTTGGAATTTAACTCGCCAGGAGTGTGGCTCTAGCCTGTTCTCCTGAAGGCTCCAGAGACTGGGGGGGAAGCATCTGTTCTAACAGCAATGAAATATCTCAGAGGAAAACTTTTTCAACTGATGCGTGCATTCGTAATTTTTTTTTTTTTTTGCATAATTTCGTCGTTGTTTATAGTTAGTATATGCAAAGCATGCCAGCTAAATTCTGAAAGACCATTCCATCTTTTTATGAAAGCCTCCATTTTTCCAAATAACGATGCTTCAAACTCAGACATAAAGGAATGCAGTTACCATACATCTGTATTTTCGATAAAAATGGTTAAAAATGTAACGTGTCTGTCTGTCTGGGTCAGGCACCAGTACCCTGCATTTGTGCCAGTGGACACAGAGGGGTTTCTCTAGGGGCCCTACCCACGTGCCAGCACCTGCAGGACCAAACCATTAAGCTCAGGAAATTGTCTTCCCGCTCTGTCTTGCTGCCGGACAGTATCTGATGGCAAAGGACAGAGCATCTTGGCATCACCGGCAGGTATTTGAACCCCCGTAAGGAAAAACCCTCACTAGTAAAATTCTGCCCATCTCCCAGATACATCTCAGTCACTACTCAGGAGTCAGCAGCTAGCGTGCTGTACTCAAACAATTATTTGTGGTAGAGAGAAGCAAACAGCAAAATACCCGAACCACCACAACACGGGGCTTGTTTACTTTTTGATGGAACACACTGTAAATTGCCGTTGATTGGAAGGTGGGATTCTGGAGCGGTGGCTGATTCCCGCTGAGCCGAGGTGGCGGAGCCCGGGCTGAGAACGCTGGGCAGCCCCGGTAATCAGAGCCCCGGCCCGATGCCAGGAGCCCAGACCCTCCTCTCACCCCAGCCTGCCTTCCCCCGTGCTCTCCGTGGCTCTAAGGGTCGTGTCCCCCTCCCGCAGGTGTTCAGCTACTGGCTGGATGACATGTACCTCAACAACCGCCTGCCTCTTCCAGTCAACTCCAGCCCAGCAATTATCTTTGCTCGTCAGAATTTCAAGGATGTAAATGACCAGCTGAGGTAATGTACTACGGCTTTGCAGCTTTCGCTAAATGAAAGGATATTTTAAACTTATTGCTTTTGCAAAAGAACAATCAACTTTCATTAAAAAATAAGGGCAGCAACCATTAAATGCTTTCCTACCAGGCCTGCTGACTGAGGGCGGTGTTTCTGGGGTTACTCATACTGATACTCAGAAATGAAAGTGTCATTACTGTTATACTGATTGCAACAAAAAAAAAAAAATTGCCATGGGAATTATCATTTTTTAAAGGAATAATTTGTGAAGCTTTTCATCGCATAATTCAAGCGAACCATTTTTGCGATGGAAAAAAAAAAAAAAAAAGAAATACCGATTTCTGACACGTTGTTTAAAGGAAAACAGTCTTTACCGTGTGACTCAGAGCCACCCCGCAAACTGAAAAGGCCACGCTGGCATTAAATTGTCCCTCTCAGGTGCCCAGAAGGGCACCAGAAACACAGGGGATCCAAGAATAACCGTTCAGAAATCATTCCTCCCCAAAAACGCGGCTTCCTTCGGGCTCACCCTTCCCAGCCCTGACCCGACCCTTCTCCTTGGAGCTGTTGGGGGCGATCACAGTCCTGGAGACGTGCAGAGGTAAGCGAGCAGCCAAGCACGGCAGATACCTCTCCAGACACCCTTAAAACAGGATTCCATTCTTCAGCCTTTGCCAAAACATTTTCTCCTTTTAAAACAGTAAACCAGATCAAATCTGCCTTCATCTAGTGCAATTTCCCTCTTTGCCTTTAGCGCTCTCTAGCCGCTCATTACCGAGCGTGTGAATTTATGCCGTTATAAACCAGCCAGAACCCTGGAGCCGGTACGTGTTATTTTAACGTTTTGCGTAGACAGCCGATGTATCTTTTACTTCACTTTAAACATAATTATAAATGCCTCTATTCATTACTGTCTAAGTTTATTGTGCACACGCAGCTTTCGAAAAACCTCCACTTTGCCCGTGCTTTAACAAGGAGATATTTTTCTCAGAGCCTCCCGTTCACACGGTGCGAATGGGCAGTGTCAGGAAATAATATACCTGTCCACCGCCGTGCAGAAAAAAAAATATCTGCTTAGGACAGGAAGTACTCTGATAAATTGGACAGCTTATGAGTATTGATATCGGAACCCTTGTTAAGGATTCTATTAAATATTCAGCCTCTGCTCCCATTCTCTAAATAAATGCTTTCAGGCTTCCTCCTGTGGGAGGCTGTTTAACCATCTGAAGGGACCATCTCTGGGATTTCATATTTCTCGTGACAGGAATTAGTTTAGGTGTTGGGATGAATCAGTTTAGGGGTTGGGGGGGGGCGGGCAGGGGCTCTTCTTGCCAAGCCAGAAGACTCCCTCTCCTCAGGCTGTGCCATCGGTCATTCAGAGTCTCCTCTGTCTCTCAGAAACAACAGCCCAGCGTTGCCAAATGTCAGGAGGCTGATGTCACTTCTGTCTGCTACTTGCAGGTTTGCCGCCAGTCTCATTTCAGCAGTGCAAGACTATAAAGCTTTACTGGACACGTAAGTAGCCTGGCAGGAGAGCTGCTGCCTGAGCATCCGCGGGGCTTCTGGTCCAGGGGTGCTGTCCCGTGCCCGACGCCAGGCTGCTTGGCACCTCTCCACCGCTTGGACGGGGCTGGGGCTCCAGCATGTTTCGGGGCAAGTGCTTCAGCAATTTTTTTTACGCACTTTCTGCTTTGTTACTGCAATCCAGCGGGTTGGAGAAGGATCCTCTTTGATGTCCGGTAGTCCTAAGTGTGCAGGGCAGCCCCAAGGACACGGGCGATGTGTCTGACGGGGTTTTGGGGACCCCCAGCAGGAGGCCCGTGCTCCCCAGACCCGCAGAGCAGCAGCTGTGGTCGTGCAGCCTCACACCCTCCCTGGCTCCAGCCCCTGCCAGGGTGCTGCACCCCCCACCCCGTGGGCTGCACCCTGCGTTTGGAGCATCAGCTCCCCTGCCTGCCGCCCCCCACAACAGAAATAACACACCCCGCCGGGTGAAGGAAGCCTCACCCCCGACAGCCCTGGTTCAGTAGCTACTAAAAATAAGAAGTTACATGAGCCGTTGTCACTCTTGGCCTACGAACACAGGGGAAATCCATGCTGCTTCCTACCGGGCAGCTCATAACAGCGTTTTACGCACAGCACTTCTTAACCTTCCCCAGTATGTTCCAAGTGCTGAAATCGCTGCTCCCCGAAAGATAGAAACGGCGGAGAGCCAAGCCGCAGGGACACACCAGCCCGTGGCAGGGAAGGGGTCGCTGCCGTATGGAAATCCAGGAGCCCCGTGGGACACGCTTTGACCAAGGCTCGTTTGGACGAGGAAGGCAAAGTCCGTGTTCGAAAAACAAAGTCCCGATCAGCCACGAATTAGATAAGGAGGAAGAGGCTGTTTGATTTTTCATTTCAAAAGTCTGACAGCCGCTCGGAAAGTGCAGAAGAGTTCCCGATTTAAGGACGCGTGCTCTTGTCCAAGACAGGCCACGCAACGGCATACGCCAGCCCTGGCGTGCTGTGGCGTCCCCCTGCGTACCAGCGGGGTGGGGTTGGTGCATCTTTGCGGGACAGGACCCGAGAGAAAGAAACCACACCGCCCTAACAAAGGCTGATTTAAATTCTGGTTGCTCCGACCTCGCTAGTCTAGATCCAGAGACCCCTCTGATCGGATCTGCTTGCCTTAAATCAGTAACCATTTAACTCCTCACTGCTGGCCTCGTATTGTCATTAACGTTTGCTTGTCACCCCTCCTGTCAGTGCTGAGGACACCGTAGCTGTAACACGCTCAGCGCCTTGTTGCTCCCGGGGGGTGTAACTGCTCCTCTCGGGTCCCCCCAGCGCAGATGCACAGTGCTCCAGCCCAAACCCAGGCAGTTAGGTTTAACGGTACGGTTTTCCATTCCGCTCCATTTTCATTCCATGCAGTGCCCAGGACTAAATATTTCAAACCAAGCCTGACTCACTCACATAAAGAGAGTTACAAGATCTAACACCGACCTAATTCAGTGCAAGATTTTCTGGCGCCGTCAGAGTTCAGAGCCCCTTTCTTAACTGCTGCAGTTGCAGATCGTCTTGTCTAAATCTATGATGCTATTCCACGATTTCTGCTCACGGAATATTTTAATCATCATCATCATAATATTATGCCACGCTATTTTTGATCTCATCCATCAAAAATCTATCCATCACCATAGATGCTCTCTAAAACTGTTAAATATAAGCAGATCTCTGCATTATGCAAAATGAGGGAGGAGGAGAACCTGTTCTGCTCAGGAGGAACAAAAAAACCCGAAGCACCTGTACAAGGAAATAAGTGATACAGAGAGTTTGAGAGCCAGGAAGTGAAGTGAATATCCCTGGTTTAGAACTGCAGCAGTTCTAAAGAGACAGTTAAACAAGACAAACTATGTAAAACAGCCCCCCCCCCCGTCAGCTGCGTGACCGTAACCCTCCGCGCGTGCTGCCTTGCCCCTGCCCCTCTCTGGCAGCTGGGAGCTTGCTCTTCTCTTGCTGAGGGGAAACCTTTGCACCCCCAGATCTGCTCCCTCCTGCGGCCTCTGAACTTTCAGCCGCGGTGCCAGTGGGATATTTTGCAATCTATAGTCATAATTATGATTTTTTTTTTTTTTCCTGACTGCTGAAGAAGCCTATAGGAGGTGTCGTTTCCACGTGCCTTCTGATAAAAATAGGCTTTCAGCACGTATTCCCCGTAGGTCTAAGTGAGGATTAGCACATGAGAGGCTCTGTGGAGAACAGAAGTGCCCCCTGCCTTGCCCCGGCCACTCCTGTTCATCAGGCAAGGCCCCCTCGCACGCTCTCCACTACAGGGCCGCCGGGATTTGCAGCGAGTTTCGTCAATCATTTTTTCTCAAGGTTTTTTCCCAGCTCTTTGGCTGACTCCTGTCCTGGGAAGGGTCTGGGGTCCCCTCTAGACAGGCTTCCCACTCACGCTGCAGAGACCTGCTATTCCTTCCATTCCCACTGATAACGCAGTTGCTTAATGAATATGCATGAAGCTGCCAGGAATGATGTATTTAACTGTAGTATGGGAATTCATTTATTTCCTTTATACCGTAATCTCGTTTTATTATTCAATTTGTGTTATACCTGATCTAATTGTAACAGAACAAAGGACAGATTAGATTTCTTTTCCTTTCTGTCTCTCTCTCTGTCTCTCTCTCTCTCTCCTCTCTTCCTCTGTCTTTGTTTTTCTCCTCTCTCTCCAGCCATGCTTTACCTGTTGATTTTGCTCATGGACAGCTGTCCGGTCACCCCCTCTGTATGAAGCAGTACTATGGACTCTTTTCTTCCTATCGTCTTCCAGGACACACCAAAGATACCCTCGTGGCCCAGAAAAGCAGCGTAATGCCAGAACCAGAGCACATTATTGTTGCTTGTAACAATCAGGTAAATGAGTGTTCTTCTTTTATACCTTTCTATATTTCTTACTTTGCTTAAATTCACTCAAGAAAAGCCTAATATAATCGCTGTTCAAAAACACGGTTAGCGTGCTGGGTATGAGCTCACATCTTACCAGGCTTTCACTGTCAATATTTCCAAAAGATGCTTCTGCAGCGTTTTTGTCCTTAGCCCACATCATGTTCCAAGTGCAGTGATGCAGAAAGGAGGAATGTGGCAGAATTCGTTTGCTTTCTCATTCAAACAAAAATGTTTATTAAACAGAGATGAAACCACAGAGAGGGAAAAAAACAAAAAAAGGTCTGATGAGAGTGCATTTGCTGGAAATGCTCTTCTCTTGACAGTCAAGTGTTGGCACACAACGCGTGGCATGTGTGTCACCATCCCATGTCGGGGGCCACACGGTGCCTGAGGAGATGAGCACAGGTGTGGGCTGGGCACAGTAACTTCCAGCCCAGCTCGGGTATTCCTGGCCCTGGAGCTGTGCCCGCAGGCCCCTTGGAATGAAGGGGTCGGTCCCAGAGGTCCCTTTTCCAGGAATTCTGTTCTTCACCTCAGCGGGAAGTTCTCTGGATTCTCTAGGTTAATTTTAAACAAATAAGACCATGGAAATTGCTTACATACTTCCTGATTTTGTCTCTTCATGGGGTTTTTTATTCTTATTCAAATCGCGTACGTTTTATTTGAGCCCAACACACACCGTAAGTCCCCTGTAGCAGCGGGGGTGAAAGCACGGGAGGGCTGAGCCCCGCGGTTTGTGCCCCGTTGTGTGGGGGCTCCGCAGGCAGGACTCCTGCATCCCGGCACCCGGCCAGGCGAAAGCAAAACCTTGGACCGGTAAGGAGGGTCCAGCCCCGCTGTGACTGTTCGTCTGACTTCTGTCATTTTTTTGCAGTTTTTTGTTTTGGATGTTGTCATTAATTTCCGTCGTCTCAGTGAGGGAGATCTTTTCACTCAGTTACGAAAGATAGCCAAAATGGCAGAGAGCGAAGAGGAACTGCTGCCTCCCATTGGCCTGCTGACAACAGACGGAAGGACAGAGTGGGCAGAGGCCAGGACGATCCTTATGAAAGGTTAGCAGCAGCCATCCCAGCTTTCTCCATCATCTTCCTCCTCTTCCTCCTCACCACCATTGCCTTTCTTTGCTGGGCGTGAACGTTACAGCAAATATAGGACTGAACGTGCAACTCCACTGCTGAGTTTTTCTAGCAGGAGGAAAGCCAATCCCTGTAAGTGTTGAGGTGCGTTTCCAGGGAAGCAGCAGATACGGTTTGACCCTTTGGCTTTGTACATTTGAGTGTTACGTCATGTAAATAGCGCTCACTCCATTCTCTGTTTTTCATCACATAAATTACGTTACGTCAGATTTTGTGATTTGTCTCTTTCTTCGCATCCATTGCGTACCAGTAGGGATGAGGTATCCTCTCAGCTTTTGGCAACTATTATTGTTCATCTCATCTAACGAAAGCACTGACAAGTTAAACACCTATTGAATCTAGATGTGTGCTCTCTCTGGTCAGTGGAGAAAATAGAGGCTGATTCGTCCAAGTTTTGAGTAAGTATCTAGGAGAGGTGACACCATGTTGTCTGGGGATAGTTCTCTCTCTCCTCCCACCACAGGCAGCATTTAGCTCTCTTGGATCCTGAACTCAAATGCCTGACTTTGGAACAGATGAAAATAAAGGGTGGGATTAGTCATCTCTAACACCTTAGATATTTAGTGATGTAAACACCCTCTTTTTGACATTTTAGATGACTTAGGTACTAATTTTTCCCTCCTGAAAAAAAACGTTAACTCCTCTCTTTATCCTCAGTTCGGCCATGCTCCAGAAAATATTTCTGTTCTACCAATGTCGTGGAACGTAGGAGAGTTGCCAATAGTCTCAAAATACGTTTACCATCCCAGGAAAGATCCTCACTTTTGTTATTCAAATTTACCTGTGCTTACAATAACTTTATAAACACACACACACACGCACAGAATCCTGGCCATTATTACAGCGTTATTACATGGTACCAGTCTCACCTTCAGGCTTTCCCCTCCCCTCCCCGCCTTTTCTTTTTAAAGCAGGGGGAAGAAAAAAAAAAAATCCTTATTTTAATGAAAACGGAGATAAACACCTAATCATTTATTTTCGTGCTACGCTTTTAAGTAAAATAGTGAATACCTTGAAACCTGCAGCAAAATAATCTTTGTAAACCTACATCATCCAAAGAACGAAAGATAAATCAACAAAAACCGGCAGAACCATCTCGATAGTGTTTTTTGATTGCCCGGCATTTGCCAAAATACCGATTTTAATGAGGAGGCGAATCAGCTCAGTTATGCAGCTGAAAAAAACAGCTGCTGCATTAGCAAATAGGACAGCACTGTGAGGTCAGCCGCCTCTAACCTGGGCAGGATTGTCCTGTAGCGCCCGTGTTAGCACACCTCCTCCCTGAGGTGTGATCCACTGCCGTTACACGTACTGCAGACCATGAACAGCCCTCCCTTCTCTCCTGCCTGCGGTGAAATGTTCATGCAACGGTAACTAACAGAGGAAGAGAGAAGCCTCTGTGGAGCAGCGTGAGGTGGAAGGAGCCGCTCCACGGTTGTTCTGTGCTGGGCAGGGAGAGACGCTTGGGGACAGAGGGGACAAAGCTCTGCAGAGGTTATGAAGGAAACACACACATGGGCCTGCATTGACCTGCAAGGAGAGGGTGGGTCTTCTAGGTGAGAAAATTCCATCATTGTAATATATATTATTACAGATATGTAATAATATATATTATTATATAAATATAATAACATAACTGTAATAAATAAATTATAATAAACCCAGCCGTCACTGACTTACAAACTCAGTATTTTAACTGCGTTCAGGCTGCAAAACTCCCTCCCCTAAGTCCAGTGAGTTAATTCCTGCTCCACAGGAGCTGCTCCCCCATCCATCCTGTATCTGAATTTGGTTCAGAACTGTCTTCTAAAACCAAAAAACCCAACTCGACAAAAGCAGGCTGGCCGATTCAACACAGTTGTGTGCAGTTAGGAAGGAAGAAGGACAAGAAATGTCCTGCAGGGCTTTAGGCTTGTTCTCACACTTTTCCCCTGTTTCAGCTCTTTCTGGAAATACTTTCCATCCCAAGTCATGGTTCATGAGTTCTTGTGCAGTTCATCACCCGCTTTACATGATAATTTTTTCGGTGTTTGATCAGCTCTCTGGACGTGTCTGTTTCTTTCCGTAAGGGCATCATTCCTCTGCTTCTCTGTCTCTAGCTGAGCTTAATTTTATTCCCTCTAACACCTAGACTCCAGCTACCCTGAAGCCATATGTCAGAATAAGGGCTTCATACCTGTCAGAGATGTGTGGGCAGCAGCCACAATGAAATATCTCGAAGCCTCTCAGACAACGTAAAGCAGAACGCTGAGCAAGCTGCGAGCAGTTTGTAAATCACTACCCAAGCAGTTTTGCTTTGAAGGGGCCTGTCCACAAATACCAGCAGCTGCTGTATTCGGAGCAACTTCCACTCGCGAGGATCTTTCCAACCTCTGCACTGATACACCCAGACCATCACTGGAATAAACACCCCAATTCCAGCCCTGCAAGTGCCAGACACGAGCTCTACCGCCAAGTGGACAGGGATGTGTCTTCTCCCTTACAAAGCCTCTGAGGACGGTTCACAGGCACGCTGGCGTGCGACGTGTCGCGGGGTGGCACGGATGGCTGGCAGCAAGGTCAACGACCTACCTGCGTGCTCCGCCGGTCGCAATCTCCCCGCTCAAGCCCTTGTAGGAGCTGGCGGCGCCTTCCCTCGGACTCTGCCTCTGTGGGCCAGGGAGGGCGACGCGCTGTGCCCTGCCCCGGTCCCACGCAGCCTGACAGGAGCCAGACTGGCCACCCCTGGCCCTCGGGCCACGGCTGCCAACGCTCCCTCGCAGGAGCCGACAGGCAGCAGCAGCCAGCACCTGCCCCAACCTGCACGAGGTCGCAGCTCCCCCTCGTCCTTCCCAGCCACCCCCATCACTTGTCTCTCCTTCTCCCAGCACCTTTTCTGTTTCGCGCGTATTTGCAGTCTTTTCTACTACACAGCATCCGGAGAACGAACCTGGATGATAACAAGCATCTGATGGGTTCTTTTTTTTTTTTTGCTATCTCCTCACTACCCTGTGTTACTCATTTTGAGAAAGCACATTTTTTTTCTTCTCTTGAGAAATGCTGTTCTTTCAGAGGATCGAGCTGCTTTTCACATTTGCAAACATTAAAACCACGCACATTTTGAAACGGGTCTGTATTTCAAAAGCGAATCAGAATTGTTTCATTTTAAATATTTTTTTTTCCATTCTTTCAGCTAAAAATCATCTCCTGAATTGGGCACAGGTTTGTTGAATTGAGCACAGACTTGCGAGAAGATTTGATCGATCTGAATTCATATATTTAGTTAAGAACGTTCTGAAAGGAAAAAAACATTTCCACCAAAATCTAACAGTACCAGCAGATGAGAGCCGATCTGTTAAGAATGGAAGGAATTTTAAGTTGATTTTTGAAAGCCCTTTTTCCTTTGATCTTGTTAACGATCATTTAACAGCAATTAATGATGTTGTAAGCTTTTGAATGAAACAAGTTCTTGTTACAGCTTCCACACTTTTATCTTTTCAATTAAGAGCTGCATTAAGTGCTCACTATTAAATATTTCCTATGCCCCAAACTGGGCCCTCAGAAGCAAACAGACCTTTACCTTCACAATATTTCTGAGTTAAAGAAACTGAGACAAAACCCCGCATAAATACACTATAGAGGAGGAGGAAAGCACTGAGGACAAGGTAGAAGCAAGAGTGACAGGATAGGGAAAAGAAACAGAGACAGAAAGCCAGAAAAATCACATTTTATTCAACAGTACCCTGCTGATGGAGGGGAGTTGGAATGTTTTTGGCAGTACCGTGATCACAACCTCACCCACCGACGTTCCCTCGCGTGATGCAGGGAACGTGCCCGGCCCAGGGCTTATTTCTGTGCAGTACGAGAAATGTCCAGGGTCAGGAGGGAGGAGAGGATTTTAACAGAACAAACCCAACACGGGCCCTGCTGTTCCCTGTCCAGAAAAGGGTTTGAATGGGAGCAGAGCACAGGAGCAGCGCGGGCCCTGCGGTTCCAGAGCAGGACGCTGCGGCCGTAGCGTGAGCTCTGAGATTCTCTATTTTGCCCTGTCGTCTCTGTAACTGTTATACAGAAAATCAGTAAGCACTGCTGGCTTTAAGAGGAAAATAGATTTATTTTGTAACGTGATTACTTCAGGAAATGAAAGGCGGAAAAAAGAAGGTGATGCTATTGAATCCCGTGAAAGATAACGCAGAGATACCGCAAAAGTTAACACAGGAACGGCCGCCCTGGCGCAAGGCTGCCTGGCACCGGGACGTTCTGCTGCCGAGGGCTCTCGGACACCAGCTCACCGCGGAGCCAGGGACAGGTGTTCGGTGCTCTCCAGGGCAGCAAGGTTCCCCAGCCGGTCCTGCCCCACGGGTACGAGGATGTGAACATCTCACTCTTTCATCCCCAGACTCTACCAACCGCGACTCCCTCGACATGATGGAGCGGAGCGTGTGCCTGGTGTGCCTGGACGGCCCCGGCGGGGCGGAACCCAGCGACACCACCATGGCTTTGCAGCTGCTGCACGGCGGGGGCTGCCGCAGCAACGGGGCCAACCGCTGGTACGACAAACCCATGCAGGTAAAACCCAACGGTGCTCTGACACCACCGGCACGTGGCGGGGAGCTTCGATCGAATCAAGGGGCAGGAGGAGGGGAAGGTGGTGGCAGGAGCTGCCAAGGCCGGCCGGGGGGAGCAGCCCTGGTCCTTGCGGGGCAGGGGAAGGACATCTACTGCCTTGCTGGTCGGGGCAGGGGGCTTCTCCACCTTCCCTGAAGTTCCCCTTTGCGCCTGGGGAGGTGGACAGAGGGACACACAGACAGGCAGACGTCCGATAAAAAAGCCAACCCCCACGGCACGCGTTTGATTCCGCTCTCTCAAATGAAATAAAAGCACTGGGCCAGCATCCCAGAACAGAGAGGAAAAGCACAACAGCTTTCTCTGGTTTCTCTTCTCACGCATTTTCCTCATGTTCTAGAAATACTACTGCTTATAATTTAGCATGTGTTTAAGTCAGTATTAAGTTCTGACTTAACAGACTGTTTCCTCATTTAACGGCATCTTTCCGGAGGCATCCCCGGATGTATTGATTTCTCCAGCCCTTTTTCCCCAATCGGATTTTGATTGTCATATTTGTTGCACTGTTATTTTCACATTTTGCAGCAGACCCAGGGTGAAGCAATGTTTTAATCTCCAACTGTCAACAATGTTGACACCTCATGAAAAATTTAAAAAAAAAAAACAAAACCCAAACCAAACCGTGATACATTGCTTGCACAACACTTGTTGCTCTTGCCTGGTCTAGGGACAGCAAAATGAAAAAAAAAAAAGCACTAAACTAATCTCGCTTGCACTGAGTTGCCCCAGTGCAAATGCATTTCAGTCGTCGTTCCTGATTTATGCCACTGCAAATGACATTATTAGCAGACTTCAGTGCTGCGTTTTTAAAGAGCAAATCATTTGTCTTTAGTTAGAATCCTCTGTTATTTGCAGGGTCACCAGTTGAGATGTTTCAAGCAGATGAAAATAAACAAGATTTTCTTCTTGTTCACTATCAGAAGGTAGCAGAAAGTGAATAAATTTGCATAGCATATGGGAGAGCTTCATCTCTCCAGATATATTTGGGCCAGGAAGTAGTTCAAAGGCAGAGAGAAATTCTTAGGGGAAAAAAGAACCAATTTTCTTTCATGCAAACACAGGTTATTTAGTAAGCTGTTCTCACAGCAGGACTCGTGCTTTCTCTCCATATTCCCCTTCAACTTTGCAGGAAGGCGTCAGAAAACATCCGGGTAAACTTTCTGTATCACACTTACTTTGTGAAAACCTCATGGGAATGAGGGAGGCAAGATGGGTACGTGTGATATAAACCCAGAGAGTGAGCTGAGCCAAGGACACTGCAAAAGAGGTGGGGGGAAAAGTCCAGAAAAAGGACAGAAAACATGCGAGAAGTTGCATCTTGGTCCTGGACGTCAGCTTTTTTTTTTTTTTCTTTGAGATGCAGAAGTAACCAACTGCATGGGGGTATCATAGAAGTAGTGTCACAGCTTAAGTGTCTCCAGTGACACCATGTATATGCCGTGGAATCAGGAGTGGAGACAAGAGGGAAATAAACACCACAAATAAAAGGTAAAGGGGAAGCAGGACGGTAAACCAAGCTATGAGAAAGCTATCAAATAAGGATGAGCTTGCTCATTTGAGACAGTATTTGTAGTAAAGCGTGATCCCAAGAGACTTTCCAGGTAAGAAGTTGCGTTGCCCCCAGACGTGGAAGAACCCCCCTGGCCTGTCTTCCCAGTGACAGGTTCGCTCTGCCGCAAAGCAGATGGTAAATCCCATTTCTGGACTCTGATGGGAAATGCTAAAATTTACGTTCTCACGGGACTCAGTCCAAAATAGATAGCAGCATGAAAGGGATCCAATGCAACACCGCTCACAGGACGATGGAGTCTCTGACGATAGATCTGTAAGCCACTCGCTGATCCGTAAGCCGAGGACTTTCCTGATGGGAGCAATAAGGAAACTGCAGGAGATGACATCTCCTGTGGGGTCGCCATCGCAGGTAACTTACCCACAACAGGATTCATTCACCATGTGTCTTGTGCTTGTTCCTTTCCTTGCTCAGTTTGTGGTGGGAAGAGATGGAGTCTGCGGAGCGGTGTGTGAACACTCCCCTTTCGACGGCGTCGTGCTGGTGCAGTGCACTGAGCGCCTGCTGGAGCACACGTGAGTGCCCTCGGCCCGGCCGAGGCCCCTACAGCTCCTGCAAACCCGCCGTTTGCCTGCTAGAAAAGCAGTGTTTGACAGCTGGATCCTTCCCGTGACCTGAACGGCTTTTCTCTCGCGTACTAACAGGAAAGAAAGCTCCAAGAAATTAGTCCGAGCTGATTCCGTGAGCGAGCTTCCTGCTCCCCGAAGACTAAGATGGAAATGTTCCCCCGAAATTCAGGCACACTTGGCATCAGCAGCAGAAAAACTCGAAAGGTAGAACAGATGCCTCTTTTTTTCCCCCGACAACAACCGCGAGCTGGGACCTCCCCGGCACACTGTGTGCAGGGATGGGTTTCCCCCTGGGGTGCTCTCCCTCCCTCCTGCTCATCCCCGCGGGTTGGACGTGCCCAGCAGCTCTTTGCCTGGTGGCACCCTCGGGCTGGAGCTACTCCGCTGCATCCAGGAATTGCATCACGTTGTTTTCCTTCCTTGTAAACATTGTGAAAGCCAAAGACCAATGGAAAAACGGTCGAGTCCTATTTGCACGGGATGCAAACAGTGCAGGTCCTCTGTGCTTGCGGATGGACTTTAGGGGTTTGACCCGAGTAAAGCTGAAGCCAGGGCAATGGGGATACATTTATGGGACAGCAGAATACAACTGGTTTGAATAAACAATTTGAATTCAGGACTGTAATTTGTTTGCATCCCTACTGCTCCTACAAAGGTTAGTTCTTTTGACTGTGTTTCCAGACTGTAAAGGATTTGCATGATCTTTGAGGGTGGGGGTGGCAACAGGAGATCTTCTTTTTCAAATTATTTCATCTCAACACTCAGGGCTGCGATCTCTCTGTAGAGAATTAACACATTGTCTGCACGATCCACTGTAAGTGTGTAAGCAGGAACATAGGACTGCATGAGATGAGACCTCAGAGTGGCTAGAAGCATGCATGAGAGCAGGAAAACATTCAGGATGCAGAGTAATTCCTTTTTGTTTTTAAATCAAGGTAGTGGTCCTCTAAATTTGAACTTGCAAGGAGCTTACAGCCTTCACCAGGCTTTAAATTCACCCATTCCTCACACTAGTAAATCTCAAAATTTCACGAGAACAAAGGAGGCCCTGGTTTAGGTTTAGGAAATACTAGGTTAAAAAAAAAAAAAAAAAGCGCTTTACACAGATGAACAGAATGACCCGAGTGCGCAGCTTGTGTTAAGACTACAAACCACAAGCCCAGTCTGGAACCTGTATGAATAGAAGTTGCTGACGGGGAGAAAGTTCCCAAAGGCCGGGGCTCTGGGAGGAACAGGAGCCCGCTCACCTCCGAGGGGAAAAGCGATCTCTGGGTTTTATCCGCAAATGGAACGTGAGATTCTTGCATCTCCCCCCACACACACCCAGTAACTGTCTCTGCTTGTTTTCCAGGATAGTGGAAAATCTGGACTTTATCGCCTACAAGTTTGAGAGCTACGGGAAGGAGTTTATTAAGAAACAGAAGTTCAGCCCCGATGCCTACATTCAAGTGGCGCTCCAGCTGGCCTTTTACAGGTGAGGGAACGCAGACCACAGGAGCCAGGTGGCACAAGGGGAGATTCACTCTTTGTCTTTTATAGAGAGGGTCCATGTTTTCACTCAACATCCAAACGCCTCCTGCACGAAAAAAGTCTTTAGGCAATATCACGCTAAGTCAGACATGATAGAAATTGCCACCCGGTTCTCAAACACCACACTCCTTCCCTGCACTCCCCCGCTCTCCTCGCTCTACCTCCCCATCCCCGACCCCCCCACCACTCCCAGCCAGTTCCCTGCCCTCAGCTGTCCCTGTGCTGGCACCGACAAGAGGGAAGGGATGTGACAGGCAGCCCCCAACACCCTTGGGCAGCCCCCAGCACCCCCCCTTGGGGCAGCCCCCAGCTCTCCACATCTACAGCCCTTGCACCGCGGGACAAGTCTCCCAGGGACAAGCACTACAGCAGCTCATCAGGCTGGAGTTCCTACACAGCACAGTAACTACTGCGGCTGCCGCCTTCACAGGCAGCCCAAGGTTTGATAATATCCTCGAATTTCCATGGCATTATCAAAGTCAGGAGCTCATTTGTACCTTGCCGGAGCAGCTGATGCTCGGGGCAGAGAGCAGTTGCACGGTTTCCTGCAGAACAGTCTATTACACCCATCATTCTTTATCACGTCAAATTAAATCCCGAAGTGGTCTTCACCTCCACAAAGCCAGAGATGCCGAACGCATTTTGTGTACTCTGAAAACATCTGTTAACCGTGCAGTTTGCATATCCCGTTAACCAAACTCCAACAGCGACCTGGTCCAAGATTTTCATCCGGGTCCCAGCTGTGATATAAATCCCACACCTGCAATAATAAACCGTAGGGGACGGTTGTGTTCCGAGAGCCCTGCCTCACCGGGAGGGCACTGCAGGTCTCCTGAAGCAGGGAACAGTAGCTACACGCCTGGACCCAAATTAAAAAATAGTCTCATTGTTCTGTTTGCTACGTGGGTTTTTATTCTGGCTCACAGTCCCAAGTAGCACCCTTCTCCCCTTCTATTTTTCTGTTTTTCATTCAGACACAGAGTGCATTTTTTTTTTCTTGTTTTAAATAAAACATATTTCAAGCCCGTAAGTAAATGATTAACTACACAATTATTTTATGATGCAGTACAAATAAAACATTCCTTGAGATCTTCCAGTAAATTTTACTTTTACTAGCCTTTTTTTTACACAGCCAGTCATTTTTTTACTCGCAATGCATAACTAAAATGTATACGGCTGTATGCAGCTCCCCATATTACAAAGGGGTGAGCATCCATCTTTTTTAAAGTTTCTTATAGAATTCCATCAACATTAAGATGAATACTATGCAAAAAAAAAAAAAAAATCACGTCTGTAACAATAAAACGTACCAAGCCTATATTTCTTCTAGTCTTTATGACTCCTTGAAAATAATTATTCCTTTTCTTCCTCCCTTCTCTCAGACGCCACAGGAGACTTGTCCCTACCTACGAAAGTGCTTCCATACGCCGATTTGATGAGGGCAGAGTCGACAATATTAGGTCTGCTACCTCGGAAGCATTTGCTTTTGTAAAAGCAATGACTGATGACAAGACAGCTCTATCGGTATGTTGGCCTGGCTGCCTCTGCCTCCTTTGGCAAAACACTGAGCGAATCACACACTGGTGATCCCCAAACTCTCGGTTTTTACCTGTTAACTGAGAGCTTTTTTTTTTTTTTTTTTTTTTTGTGCAAACCAACCATTAAGCTAAATATAAATATTTCCTCGTTTTTTATTTAAGCATCCGAAAGATTCAGAGGTGCCTAAACATGACATTATAAGAAACAAACCCTCTGATTTTAGAGTTCGTAGCATCTTCTGAATGATCTGTCATCAGCTCCCCGAAGAGATCTGGGCTCAACGTGCGAGGTTCGGGATCATTATACTGTTACCCCAGGGAAATCGCCTGGCAGGTCCCCTGCAGCGGGGAGCTGCTGCAGACTGCCGCGTGCGAAGTCAGATCATTCACAGGCTTTGATTTCTGGATAAGGTGGGTATGTTCTGGCTGATCCTTTCCATTTTAAAGGTACATTTCTAGCAAATAGAGTTTAGCTTTATAGGATCCTCAAGGGGGCTGAACATTCCATGATGAAAAATCTTCATCAAGCTAATAACAGAATTCTCCAAACCCTCCTGACATCATCTTGAAAAAAAAAAAAGGAAAAATTAAATTGCTTTTCCTTGCGACACCACCATCTGTTTGCCAGAAGCGCGAGCGCTGCGCAGAGGAGCTGTGGATGCAGAGAGGGACAGCTGAGGCGATGCTGCACAAAGAGCGTTGTGCGCCGTCCCCAGAGGCCTCCCTCGGCCTCTGTCTGTGCTGCTTCCACCCACTGCACTTCGCTGCTGCACAGGGAATTTCCAGGTGGCTCTTTAGATGCAAACCACTGCCACAACACGGATTATTTTGCACAGTAAACCCACCTCGGTGGCAGCGGCCCACGTGGCTGCTCTTTAGACTCTAGCATAGCATCGCTAGAAGTATTGCTGGGCTGTAGGTTGAGTGTAAACGAATGGGATTTTGTAAACCAAGCTCTGATGTCCCAGAGGATGAGGAAAACGTGCCCAGAGGAGTGCTCTGCTCCTTCAGTCTCCTGAAGGCTGCCATGTCCAGGACTTGGCTCATGATGAACAAGACTCAACTGAGTTCCACGTTAAAATGGTCACTCAGAGGAAACCTGAAGTAGTTCCCTGTGCTGAAGACAAAGTGGTTCTTAAGCGTAGTTCACTAGAAGCTGCTGCCTTCTGCGCACACCTTCCTCCCTGCACCTGGGCACTCAGGGCTCCCCACCGCTGCAGGCTGGCTGTACCCCGGGAGGAGCCAGCCCGCTCCTCGCCACTGCCTTGTTCCCTCCAGCCATCGCTTCCTTCCTTCCTTACTCCAACACGTACCGACTTCTGCAGCTCTCCCAAAGCTTCGGCACTTCTCCCCACTTTTCCACCCAAACCCGAGACCGTGCCCACCTCTCACAGCATCCCAGACTGCACCAGCAGGCAGAGCAACGCCGGGCATGCCTGGGTGGGCTCAGCCTCAGCCCCCAAGTCTTTGCCTTGGCAGGGCTGAACGGGGACAACAACGGTTTCATTCCCCGGAAAAACCTGCGAGCATAATGCAAACCAACCCACCAAGAGTTTTCCTGGATTTTTGTCCACCGAGAGACGCAAAGAACGTTTAAACTGATCTGTGATTGTGCTTTCCCACAGAGTTATAGAAATCTTTGTTTTAATGTGAGCATCTTTATCTTTCAGGTCAGAACTACTCACAGTATTAACCACAGAATCATTAGAAGCAAAATTCACTTAACACAACCCTAGTTCACGGTGATTTCTTTAGACCCACAGATTGCCTCTGGATGTGAAGGTGTTAATTCTAATTTTTGGACAAATAGATGCATCACTTGGGTTTAAGGAGACTTGAACTCCCCAAAATATTGTTCGTTAATAGCTATTAATCCAAATCAAATTTAAAACCATTTTCTATCTGATGCTAATAAAAATGATCTTCAAAGGATAGCATGAACAGTCACCAAAGATTGATCGGGTCAGATTGATTCTCTAGCAGGAGAAATATCTCATGCATTTGACAGTTGCTGTAAAAGCAGCAGCAAGTGACACTGCAGAGATTGCTTGAGTAGCTGTAAATTAATCAGACTTAAAGACTGCATTTGGTAATTTAATCTGTATAAGGGAACTAAGGCTCTAAGCTCTATGAGGAAAAAAAAATAAACCAGACTCTACTTTGAAGGTCCCCGATGGTGGCCTTGAATTGCTTCTAAAATGAATTTTTTGTTCCGAAGATCATTCATCGCCCATAGGAGCTGAAGGTTCCCTGTTTGCCTGGAGACCCCGTCCGTCCCTCCTGCTCTGTCAGGGTCTCCCGAAGCTGCAGCGTCGGGGTTGATGTACGGCCTGGCAGCACTTCTGAGGACCCTTCCCTTAATATAAAAGGCTGCCGTCTGACAGGAGCCAAAATTTACTGGCATGTTATGTGAAATGCAAGGCATCTGAGGAGGGTAGAGCAGCCTTGGGAAAATTCTAGATGCCCGTAGATTCGCGTGGGGGAGCAGATTTTTGACTGTCAAGTAAAATATCAGTAATGGCTTTCATCAGCGTCACTGTCGCTGTCCAGATAAACCATTCTGGAGGAGACACACTGCCTGGCTGTTCTGAAAACACTGAATTACACTCGGCAATTATTTTCCATACTTCAAATGGAGGAATTCAGTTAGCAATAATGGACGCCTCCAAAATCCATGGAAGGAATCCACAAAAGGGGATTTCCTTCACGTCAGACCAAGCACCCCACTAAACCTGCTCAGCCCTGGCACAACCAGGACATTGAATCCCTCTGGCTCTTCATCTGTAAAGAGCCCTTACACCTGAGCCAGAGGCAAAGGGCATTTGAGAGTGCTTGTGGCGTGGCTGCTGGGCAATTGATAGAAGATGCTGTTTCTCTGGGATTGTTTATTCAATAACAGATATGTTTTTGTTCCCCCAACAGGATTCTGAGAAGATGCAGAGATTTAAGGATGCAATTGCCGCTCAGACTAATTACACTATTCTGGTAAGTAAAACGCTGCTTTCTCTGAATAAGGACTAGTTAGGTTTTTTTTCAAGAAAAATACAAAGATACAATCATTAACTATTTGAGCACCAGAAAACACGGGCATCTACATAGGAAAGTACCTGCTCTGTCACACTTACAAAAATTTCCAGTGACCCAAACACCCTCCCAAGAGCCGTATTCAGCGAACCTCAACTTAAAAATTAGTTCCCGGAAAGCAAGATAATAGTATTCTGCATTAGATATCGGCGGCAAGACTGTGGTTCTTGGGCATTAGCTCTCTTCTCTAGAACTGTCACGGAACGTGACACTCGGTATTCAATGTATTCACAGGGAACGTGTGTCTGTGAAAAAATTAGGGTTTATCTCTGTGCCGTTGTTAGGAGTCCCAGCCACAGATCAGGATTCCACTGAGCTCGGCGGTATACAAACTAACAGCTCAAAACCGGCCTCCGTCTTAAAGAGCTTGCGATCAAAATTTAACAACGGGGTTTTTAAATAAAGGCGGGAAGGTTTGCGAGGGAGGACAAGCAGCCGGATGAAATAAGCCTTTACTCTGTCTGCTCTGTGACCAACACGAAGCGTGAGCCATGAAGACGGCCGAGAAAAGTGGCGGCGGGGTACTCCAGTGGGGTACGGCGCGGGGGCAGCTGGGCGCCCTACCGGCATGAGAAGTAAGGGAAGCTCAAAAGCAGCCAGCGTAGCTGCTGTGTAACTCGCACGGGAAATAGAACCCCAACCGCAAAATTCAGGTCCCCCAAATGTACAGGTATTTAGAGCCGTAAGCTGTAACGTTACAGATAGGCTCAAGACAGCTGTAACACATCAGGAACACCCCCAGCACCCCCCAGAACTCATCGTTTATGCTTTTTCTTGTGTTTCCTTTCCCCAGAGGAGAGAGGCCCCTACCTGGGACCTGAGCCTCAGGGTAACTGCTATCCCCGTGCATTCCGGTGTTCCAAAGTGCCATTTCTAATAACGGCCGTTAACAATGAGAGAATTATGATAGTAAGTTCTCCTTTAGAGACCTGAACGCAGTGTCTAATAAAAGCAAGAGATGCCCTCCAGGGAAGAAATCAGTTTAGTATCAAATACAATTTATTTTCTGTTGACTAAAAATGAGACAATTCAGCCCGGGTAACACTCTACATCCCCTGTGCCAAGACAAAGCACAGACTTACTCTGGGAACAACCGAAGTCAGACTACTCAGGAAATTGATAAATGTTAGCGACCGGCTACGCTAAGTGAATTTGCTCCTATGGTTTTGCCTCAGGCCATCGCCTAACAAACCCACATTGCTGATTACTGTTTAAATATTCCTAGTATTAAAGAAATCATTCATTTCCAGAGGTGGTTTCGGAGGTACACTCAGAGCACTGGAGAAGTGCTGCTTTCAGGCAGGATTTGTGCCTAAGACTGTGAAAGAAAAGAAGAAGCAGGGAAGAAAAACTGTGTTTCAAGCCTCGTGCTGAGAACCCACGTGGTCTGTAAAGCAGAGGCAAGTCTTACATCAGGGCAACCGTCTCACCTGAGCCATCTCAGGGTTAACTTCACAATGAACACAACATACCATAGGTCTGCTAGGTCACAAGCAATGGAATTGCTGTACCGCATTTTAAAAAAAAAAAAAAAAAAAATTCCCATAAAATTCCCCCTCCAAGTCATTTCAGTTCCAGAAACTGTCATAAAATTCAGCCTCCAGTGTAGCTCATGGGGAAAATATTAAGATCGCCATTGAAAAATTAATTTATCTTTAAATTTAAAAAGGTCTCCAGGTATTTCTCCTCACTGAGCTCCCCTTGCTTTCTCAGAATTCCAGAATGTAATTGTTGTGCCTCTAAACTACGGGCAAGGCTTACATGGTCTGACTAAGCCGTGTGTAACAGACCGAAATGGAATAGCTCCCAAGAAAAAACAAAGAAATCTACTTCATAAAACAAAAAGCAATTTAATGATTTTATTTCCCCTTGTTAGGGCTCACTAGTAGCATTTGCTATCTTAAATGCGGAGCTCTAAGATTCGATTTGGCAGAGTTTTTTCCTCCGCGTTGACTCACGGTTTATTTCGTTAGCCCGTCTCGGCCTCTCTTCAGCCCTGACATTGATCTATGGTGCAAAAATGTCATTGCTAACAGCCTTATAAATCTTGTGTGATAGAAAAATATTTCCTTTGATTATCAAGTCGGTTCCCCTCTATGGGAAAAAAATAACATAAATACTACCCTGATGTATGCTGCTCCTTCGCAAGCCTCCTCGCTCTGCCTGGGCTGAACAAACAGCCCCTTTACCCGTGGTGCCTGCTCCTAAATAAACCAGATTATACACTCCCAGCCCCGCCACGTCAGGCACTTATTACTGCTTAAAATGATTCTCCTCTTAAAAAAACAAAACAAAACAAAACAAAAAAAAACCACAAAACATGGTTGCTTTTTCTCTTTTTTTTTTTTTTCTTTTTCTTTTTCTTTCCCATTTCTCCCCTTAAGAGGAAACCCAAGCCTGTGCTCTTGTTAAACCTCTGCCTTTTCTCAGGTTGCTGGTTTCCCCGTTACTGTGCCCCGGGGATCTCAGCTCTGCTCCCAGTACAGCCCAGTGCCCCTTGTTCCACACTCCCTGCCTGCGTGACTTCAGCTGGTCACTGGGCTGCACCCCAGCCCTCCTGACCAGCGCTCCTCACCGGCTAGAATCAACTTACACCGGAGGATTTGAAATGCACTTTTTAATCCGAGGCAATTCCTGCCTGGTTGGAACAAATTCTGATTTGGTTTCCTAAAGAAACAAAACTGTAACGGCCCTGTCTGCCCATCTCCCACTGCGGACTTGTGAGCCTGTGCGCTGCCTTCGGTCCCATTTGCTAGCAGGGCAGAGATCCTAAGGATAATAAATTCCTGAAGTCTACAGCATTAGGTAGCCGGGCAGAGCAGAGACCCAGGCACAGCAGGCTGATGGCAGAAAGCCTCACTGCAGGCTGGCCACCAGTTCTCGTGAGCTGGCCAGCCGGCCACCAGTTCCTGCTGTAACCCTCAGCCACCGCACGCGCTGCCCATCGCCTCGCCCGTAACCGTGAGGTCTCTCACTTCTCAAGCACGTTATTCCTCTTCGTTAAACCCCGTTTAATTTGATTCTAGACTCAGGGCATCTGTTTTCGATCCCATCCACAGAGAGAGGGTCGAAGTCCTGACTGTCCCTGAGATAATCCAGCTCTGCAATTAAACCAGCGCAGGGAGTGGTGGAGGGAACTGGGGTATTTGGGCAGTGAGTTAAACTGAGAAGGCATCAGTGCCCCCGACCCCACCAAGGGGTGGGTAGGCCGGTAGATCTGTCACGGAGCACTGGCCAGTCTCCGTTACTCTGCAATCGCTGTCACGTCTGTTGCAGACACCTACCAGATCTCTGGATCGAAATTCTGCGCAGCGACACGTGCTTTACCTGCCAGGGTGTGACGCCAGCAGCAAGGCAATGAAAGATTCATTTGTTCCCATTCGGAGGTGTTTTGGAGCCTCCCATCTTGAAAGATAAACCGAGGAATGCTCGGGGAATTCCAAAACACACTTAAGAGATTTCTGGGGTCCCACGTGCTGCCCTCAGCAGCTGTGGAAGCCCGTGAAATTCAGCTCTGAGCGGTGGTGAACACCCAGAACGCCAAACATCAGCATATAATACACCTCGGGACCATCTCCTTCCTAATTTTTATATCCTCAGAGCACCACGAGTGTCTAGTTACTGATCATCAGCAAAGGACACACTCCAGATGCCACAGGGCATCACGGCACTCAGGCCAAGCTCATCAATTCTGACCCGAAAACCAGGCAGTGGGAGCCAAGGCAGTGTCTAGTCGGGTAAATGCTGGTGTCTGATGTCGTACACAGGCTATTACTGGAATGGCGATAGACAACCACCTGCTGGGGCTCAGAGAGGTGGCACGGGAGCACCTGAAGGAACTGCCAGAGATATTCACGGATGAGACGTATCTGACAAGCAACCGATTCATCCTCTCCACCAGCCAGGTGAGTTTCCCCTGTTCACTGCTGTTGCCCAGCAAAGGCCAATTCATTTGTGCTCTGCCAGACCTTGTAGCTCACAGTGAGAATGATGTTAAAAAAAAAAAAAAAACAACAAAAAAAAAACCAGCTGGTACCGTGAAGAACCATCAAGAAGGCTGCAAAATTCTCCAGACTTTTAATCCAGTTTTGGTTCATTCTGCAAAATCAGCACGTTAAATGCTGACTGGAGTTATCACGTCCCTTGCAACATCCCAAAGCCCTCCCCGGAAATTCTGGAAATGGTGGCAAAAAGCCTCAGTAAAATTCACACGAGAGCTTAGTGTTCCCTCACCTTCCCAACCACCTGTCGTTCCAGCCCCTTTCCTCTCCTCCTTACCCTGCGGTGACAGCTCCAGGGGGAATCCTCAGCCACAAGCCAGGCAGGCTGCCACCCTGACAGACAAAGGCCAAAGGCCACGAGGAAATTTTACTCTTGAAAGTATCTGTGTTTGAAATCTTCGAGAGGCTTCAGCTGTTCAGAGTAAGACTGCAACCCGTGCAGGCGCGCACCTTGGATTTATAGACACTTTAGGCACTTACAGACATTTATGGATTTACAGATATTTGCAGCTATACTAAGATACTCTAAAACATCAACACTCCCTACATTTAATGTTCTCAATGAGGAAACATCTTTAGAGCATCCAGCCTAAAAATTAATCGTTTCATTGCACGTAGTAGCAGCCCCAATGAAAGCGGACATCTACGTAGGAATTCATTTACTGAACCACCGACCCAACTGTACAGATTAGGACCACGCAGCAAAATAATATCATGCTACAGCATCAAACCCGAGTCATTCCATCTTCTCATGCCGTCTGTAGGCTTTCAGACACGAGTGAACGCAACCAACATGCCACTGCATAAATTCCCCAAGAAACCATCCGCGAGCAGAGAGTGCTCCTGAATAGCTTTATGGCCTTCGGCTGTTGCACGGCAAATTTATCTGACAATTCTATGGCTCTATTAGCAGGACTAATGGCTTGTTCTACACCATTAAAAAGCCAAATGTCATTTGTGGAGGCCCGTGTACACAAAGTCTGAAACATATAGATCCTTAACGTGTCTTTTCTTTCCTGCAGGAGAAAGCGTTTTGCTCCTGTATTATGCCGCGATTAAACCGAGGTGTAATAGAGAGAGAGCAGTTAAAATACGTTTTTATACAGCACCACAATTACAAATGATTATTAGAAATGGCCAGTGCTGCCTTCTATAATTGATTTACAGTCTTCACAAGTTTAACGTAACCTTAAGAAATTAAAAACCTCAGAGAAATTTTGTGTATCAGAATTAAATTCCCCTACCCGTCAGTAACAAAGCTCACAGCTGTTAAAGTTCTACATAAAGTGAGCAAAGGAATGTGTTACATCCACTTCAGATGACACCAGTTTTCAAACAGTGACAACCAAACAGAGCAGCCAAGCTATGTACCGAGATCAGGTTTTACCTTCCAAGTGTCAGCTCGAGCTCTGAACTCCTGAAGGAAGTGACAGCCTGCGAGGGGAGCCCACCACCTTTCCAACACCTGTTTATCTGTTTCCTCATTCCAAAGCAGGTGGTTCCAGGTGCCCTGATTAATCAGAGTTCACTCCTTACTTTCTCCCTGCAACCAGGTTCCAACCACTATGGAAATGTTCTGCTGCTATGGGCCTGTGGTGCCTAACGGCTATGGGGCATGCTACAACCCCCAGCCAGAGCATGTGTTATTCTGCATCTCAAGCTTTAAAGACTGTAAAGAAACCTCCTCGGATGCGTTTGTGAAAGCCGTGGAAGAAAGTCTCCTAGAAATGAGAGATCTGTGCAGCAAATGCAACTCTACTCCGGCCAAGTCGAACCACGGAGCAGCCACGGAGCTGCAGAGCGACTCCAGACGCTGAGAGCCCGTGGGAATTATTCTCCTGAATCCACCTCAAGAAGAAGCAGTGACATAGTTGTTCAAAGGCAAGATAGTACTATAATATATTCGTGTAGAACAAAAATGCCGTTTGTTTTACATTGCTGTCAACATTCAACCCCTGTACGTACTAAATCTCCCACTGCTCGCTTGAGAGTCAGCAGAAAGGGTTTGGTCTCGTGGCTGAAATGGAGTTGGAAGTAATAGGAGTAGGTGTCGTACTCCCAGTTCTAACCAGAATTACCTTATGCCATTTTATCACCTCAAAAATTAAGTTCCTATATGCCATGAATTAAATACTAAAGCACACCAGTTAATGAATATTCCCTGCAAGTAGTTCTAAAATATTCACATCTATTCCTGCAAGATTTGCATGTAAAGAAGAAAAAAAAAAAAAAAACCACAAAAAACAAGACATTTCCTACATGGGAAAAGTTCAGAATAACGTTATAAATAATAGGCTGATGCCATTAAATCTTGAAAATTTGCATGAAGAGTATTTAATAGCACCACGCTGTCTAGGCTGTGAGAAGAACAGATCGTTTTTAAGAGGAGCTGTTGCGTGTTTTCACAAGCAGAGTTTAGGAAGGTTGCACTGGTGTTTGCATGTTCCCCAATTCAGAAATGCTGCAGAGCTAATTTCGCCTTTGCTCTGCCTTGCGCTGGCCTCGAGCGCAGCCCCGGTTTGAGAGCAGCGTGTTGGAGGCGAGATCCATCGCAGAGAACTGGGAGAATTTGGTCTGTAATGGATTGACTTAATTATTTCTATCAGTGAGGAGAATCCAGCCTGACAGAGAGGCAAAGTGCAATTCAATCCTACTTGAGACCGTTTTTGTTTGCACAAGGATGAGTTCAGTCCCCGGGACTAGCAGCAGAGTGTGTGCAACCACAGACAGTCAAGGAGCAATAAATAACGAGAACGAAGAGGCAAACCTGCAATATAAGGCAGTCTCCACGCTAGAGCTATAAATACCAGTTTAGTACTGTTACTCGCATCCGCCCTGCATCATCCCACCTGGGTGGGATTCATATTTTATGGTTTTTAACGGTAGATGGAAGGCGTCATGGTTTGCAATCTACAGGAAATTCGATCAGGAAAATAACGTAGCATCCGCTAATTCCCCTGTTCCGTGAATGTTATCCCCAGGGGGTTCCAGGATCTCTTTCATTCCCTACAGATCCTTCCAAGGACTGGTATTTCCGTTCCTCTTCTGGAGCTGAGTCCGTTGCCTTGCTGCGGGGCGCTGAGCCGTCGCCGTGAGGACACGGCCCGCTCCTGAGCGGGGCAGGCGGCAGCGCCCAGCAGCCTGGCAGGGGACTGCTCCTCGCCCTGCGGAACGCGAGATGTTTCTTCTTCCTCTGTAGGCTGAACAATCCCAGACTCGCACTCTCAAGCCTAAAAGTCGGAGAATAGATTTATCCCGGTGAACTAGAGTGCAGGTATGTGTCTGCCTAAGAGCTCTCGACAGGATTCTGTAGGTTACGTGGGTCCGTTCTCATTTTGCTGTCCCCTCGGAGATGCACAGATGCAATCCAGCTGGGTTGGGGCTGGATCTGCTGGGGGAGGGCTGTCCACATCCCCCGCAGGGAAGCGCAGTGGGCCCGATGACCAACGGGAACAAGTCAGCTCTGCTGGAGCAAATCGACTGTGACGATTTACAGTGATTGAGAGCTGGGCTCTTTATTCTTTTTTTTAAAAGTTAATGCATTCATTTAAAAATATCTATGTTTTGTTAGTCCATGAGCTGTGGTTCAAATCAAAGATGAAATCTATTTTTAGATTATATAAATAATGTTGTGGCATAAAAGCTGCCCCAAAGTTTAAATGTAAATAAAAATAATAATTTTAAAAAAATCAAGAAACCTGTTAGTCAAACCAAATATTCGCTTAATGAATATACTGTTCAAAATATGACTTAAAATTGTTCCTCTACTATAATTACAAAAATTACTTTGAAACATTCCCGGTAATTTTGCTTTGTTCTGTCTCATGTCCCCACAAAAGCATTCTGCATTTTTAGCATAAATGTAGCACTACAACCTCAAGGTTTTTTTCATAGAATTATATGTTTAAAATTCTAGCCATATTTTCAGGGTATGAAAGTGCTGTGAGCAGTTATCTATTTATTAATGTGCTTCTAATGAAATGTATAATTTGATTTTGTATCCCTGGTTCCGCGGGTACTGATATTTAATTGCAAATATCACCCGTGTTTTCGTGTTAGTTTTTTGGCTGGAATTTTGTCAGTCGCTACCGGTTCCATCCTTAGATACTGATCTGGGTTTAGGATTCGCCCGGAATGAGCAGCTCCAGTGAGCTCAGCCCCCCTGGGAGCATCTGCAGACTCGCCTTGGCCATTGCCCACGCTAAAAGTCGCATCTGCAAAGCACCTCAGTTTGTTCAGGAAAACTCAGCCTCAGTTCAGGTTATGTTCAGAGTGGAGTGTCCCGGTTAAATTCATGGCACAGGGCACCACAAACTCCTCGGTTTGCCAGCAGGAGCTTCCTGAGGGGCTGTGCTGCTTCTCGAGTCACAGAATCCCCCACACCTCTGTGGCATCATCCCATGCTGCAGCCGTGTCTGTGAAGGGTTTCAGGAAAATGGGCGGTTTTCTTCAGTTCTCATTTAAAATTATTTGTATTAATACAAATGAAGTTCTCTTCTGAAGTTTAAAAACACACAGTCTGTGTCCCTGCGCTTACGGAAACCTAACGTGAAGCTTTTAGAATGTTTCCAGCCAGAAAACTATGGAACAGATTGTTCATTAGAAAAAGGGAGAAAATCTTGATTGACAAACCAAGTGTAATTACATGAATGTAACAAGTGGCGGTGATTTAATGAGACCCCTCGGTGAGACCTGGGACACGCAAACCCCTTGCAAGAGAAGTTTAAGGCGGTAATTGTTTCCCTCTCTCCGTGGGTGTCCGGCCACACGCTCGCAGTGCTGGGATGTACAAAATAAAAAGCCGGTGTTGGCGAGCTCCTGTACTCACAGCGAGCAAAAGCTGAAGGACCCGGATCCAAAGCAGCGGCGTTTGGGGGTGTGAGGACCCGCGCTCGCCCTGCCCCTGCGCCTCTGTAACCAGCAGGACGCGGAGGTGACCCCCCAGCTGAGCGGCTTCTTTCCTACGAGCTGCACAAGATATACAAATATTTTAGTGATACTTTTATTTTTATAAAATAGTATAGATTTATGACGGATGTAAATGTGTATTTATAGCGTGTTTGTCTCTTGTTACGCCGTGTGCTCTCCTGAGGTGTGTTTGTGTTGATGTGTACGGCCTGAGGTGTACGCTGGTAGCGCGGATTCAGCTTCTTCCAAGAGGCAGCTCCACACGCAAATAAAAGCCACCAAGGCAAGGTCTGGTGTCACCTTCTTGTGCCGGGCAGCCCCAGCCCGCGGGGTCCCTCCGCCGGGGCCACCGGAGGAAGCATCTGTTGGCCTGGGGGGGGTGTGGGGGGTGTGTGTGTCTTTCCCGGTTACACAGATGCCAGGACAGACACAGTGTGGAGGAAACTAGTAAAGATGAAAACGTTCATGCTCAAATTTCACTCCAAAGTGAAGGATTTGGGAGCACAAAGCAGCCCCTGGGCTCGGGGGTAGGGTCTGGCTGTGACCCACCGGCAGCTCCCGCTGGCCCTGGGCTACCGGCCGTGCCCGGGTGACCAGTGACACGCTGCCCGGGAGAAGGCGCAGCTATACTCATCCCAATTCGCCACACATAGGGATTGGTGTCGTCTGTTTGCTCTCTATTAGGGAATGAGCAACATTTCCCCGCTGTTCTACTGCTTCCAGCTGCGGGAGAATACGCAATGAACATTCCTGCCTTGCAAATCTGCAGCTGCGGGAGAAATGCAGTTGTATGCGTGCGATCTAAAGTATTCATATAGTCAAATTTTGTAACTATAAGGGCTTTAGATCACATAAACGCGTCCAAAAAGAAGGATGAAATTCACTGGGTAGCACTGGGCACAACGGGCGTGGGGTCACACAACGTAAAGCTGCTGGGAACTCGCTCACGTTTCCTCACTGAGGTGGCCAGATCACTGCAACGTTCCTGGCATGGACCAAGAGAGACCTGGCCTCAACCTAGGGAAACTAGTAAGGTGGTTTTTTTTTTTCTAATTTAGAGCCACCAGCGTGGAGATGCCATCTCTTTCATTCGTTTTATAAATGCGAATTAACTGCCAGAGACTGCCACTGGAGTTTGCTGGAACTCGGGGAGGGCTGGCTGACGAGGATGACAGAACAGCTGGAAGCATGCTGCTTCACGAACCAGGCTCCTTCCTCGGCCTTTTGCTGTAGTTTTCAAATAAATTGAATTAAAATGCTGCAAACAGCTGTCCCGGGTGGCCACGGTCAGGTTAACGTTTGAGAAATGCCAGCCTTTGTCACAGAGCTACGGTGGGGCCAGGATGGAGGGAGAGGAACCTCCCGCTGCCAAAACCAGCGAGTTTTGTAAAACCAGTCGGTAGAATAAGACAAATTTTAAAAAAAATTAAAATCTCTGGGGGTCAAGGCAGAAGCACACGGCATTTCTGTGTTGCTGGGATTGCATCGTCAGCCAGATCTCTTCTTTCCCCGGCTGTCATTCATTCACGGCACTATACACGGCGCCGTAACCAACCCAAAAAGCACCTACTTCATCTAAACAGCTATGCGGGTCGAGAGAGGATTTTTGTCCCTTCTGGTTCGATTCTCAGCTTCACAAAATCTCCAGTCTCTGACATCCCAAGGAATTACTCCTTCATCAGAAGCGAAATGAATTATGCGTCAGCGAACAATTGGGTTATCAAGGTTGTTCACTTAATGTTCCAGCTGTTCTGTAGCACCACCTTAACGTTTATTGGAGATTTCTTTTGAATTTAGTCTTGTTCCATGGTACTTACGAATAAATACATTGCACTGCTTACAGCTGCTGTGCCAGTTAATAGCAAATACAAGCGCATAATGAATTTCTTGCCTTTTACTGCTAGGACCAGAAATGACAGAGGGTGAAGGCTTCATTCAAAGGAGATCCATTAGTGCAGCAGTAGCGAAGCCAGAATTAAAGCTGAGAGGATTTGCGGGGAGTTTTGTGCAGCACTTAACTCCATTAACACTGGTTTTTGCTCCTTGCCCTCAAAAGTGCTAAAACTCAGAGTTCTCAGGAAAGCAAGCGGATACGGTACTGGCCACCGGTTCTTTGCCCCCTTGCAGCTGCCCTGCGGGCAGAGGGACATCAGCTCCTTCTGGAAGAGGCTGTAGGGCTGGTGCTCAGTGAGGAGACTATTTCCCTGCAACGCCAGTGACCTGGATTTTGGTAAGCACGGGTTTACTCACGGCAGCCGCCTGCTGAAAGCGCTTGTGTTTTGAAACGAGTGCTTGCCAGGGCAGAAACAGTCCGGGTTCTGCCGTCAGCGCTTCCAGGCTCTGCACTCCTTTGTCTTTGAGGCAGTTTGACGGGCACAGTCGGGAGAGAGGATGGTTTGGGAGTTAAGGCCGTGCGTGGGAGAACGCTGGCCAGGGTCTTCCCGCATGCACCAGCACACAAGCACAAGGAGACGGGCCCAGGTTTAGTCCCCGGGGGCATTAGGGCATCCCCAGGGGTATCAGGGCATCCTTTTGCTTTCAAAATAGCAAATATTTTTCTTTTGCTTGGGCCTTACTTAATTAGACATAGCATAAGGACAGAATTAAAGCTGACTGGGTGTCACCACAACCGATATTCCAGCCACCTCAAAAGTAATGCTGCCTTTTCCTCTCTATTTTCCATCTCTGCCAATAACTAGAGTATGAAGCTTTTTTTTTTTTTTTTCCCCTCCTGATTTGTCAACACATCCTCTCAACCTCAAGCTCATTTTTAAAACACTTCTGACTGAGGTTTGCAAAGAATCATCATGCCAGACTGTTGGTACCCTGAGCAATTTTCAGTTTGGCCCATAATTAGTTATGAAAGAAAGAAGTGGTTTGCCTTTGCATCCTGACCGAGTGGTGCAGAAAAAGACTGCAGGGTTTGCTGTGAGCCCTGGGCAGCAGAGCGACAGGTTCTGGTGCAGCTGCGGGACAGGCAGCGCGCCCGGCAGAGAAATCCCATCACCCCGCATCGCCCGTCAGCTGTGACCCGCAGGGGGACAGCCGCAGTGACAACCACCAAACCACATTTACAGTGATGCTGATCCCACGCCAAAGTGTCGCCAAAATAACTCTCTGGCTGTGTCCAAAGGCAGTCCCTCTCCAAGGGCCTGGAGATGACGGAGGCGCTGAAACAGCGTTCTTCAGCGAGAAAAAAATACCCAAAGTCGAGTGAAGCAGAAACTTAATTGTCCCTTTAGAAGATGGATATTTCTGCTTTCAACAACTCGAATATAACAAGATCGGAAAGTAAGAACATTCAGACGGAACCAAACCGAGAAGATCAATACAATTAAGCCTGGCTCAGAGAAGAGAGGCGCTTTCTGCTCAGGCCCTCACGCAGGGAGCAGGCTGGGGTTGCAGCCCCTGCCCCGCTCCCGTTCGGCTCCTGGAGCAGTGAGTTCCTTCCCCCCTCGCCGTGACACTGACCCCGTAACTCCGGAGCCGGCAGCTCCCAGCACGGGGGGGCTCAGAAAAACCCACCCCACCGCACGTGTCAGCGGGACGCCGACACACGGCTTTCAGCTCTGGTGGTAAACTGGTTATTGGCCTCTTAGGGAAATGCACGTTAATTAGTCTGAGTTAGTTTAAATAACGCTAGTCCTGGGCAGAATTTACTCCCCCAAACAGAACACTAAATCCCGCAGGCATGGAGCACCGTGAACATCAACGGAAACGCTCCAGGCGGATGAGCTCACCAGTGTGACTAGTTCTGGGTTTATTTTTAAAGTTTTAGTTTTGCTGCGCTCAGCGCC